TGATGCAAGAGAAGAAGCCTATTGCCTACTTTAGCGAAAAGTTGAGTGGGGCTACGCTTAACTATCCCACTTATGATAAGGAGCTCTATGCATTGGTTCGAGCCCTCGAGACATGGCAGCACTACTTGTGGCCAAAAGAGTTCGTGATTCATACCGATCATGAGTCTCTTAAGTATTTGAAGGCCCACACAAGTTGAACAAGAGGCATGCTCGTTGGGTGGAGTTCATTGAGTCGTTTCCCTATGTAATCAAGTATAAACAAGGCAAGGAGAATGTGGTTGCTGATGCATTGTCAAGGAGATACACGCTGATCACTACTATGGACGCTAAGTACCTTGGATTCGAGCAAATCAAGGGTGCTTATGATGGGGATTTCGACTTTGGAGAGACTTATAAGGCTTGTGAGAAGCATGGAGAAGGAAAATTCTACAGAAGTAATGGTTATCTCTTTCGTGGTAATCAATTGTGCATACCTAGAACATCACTTCGAGAGCTTTTGTTGAAGGAAGCTCATGGAGGAGGATTGATGGCTCACTTTGGTGTAGCCAAAACATTGAGTTGTTTGCAAGAGCACTTCTATTGGCCTCACATGAAAGGAGGTGTGGAGAATTTATGTGCAAGATGTGTGGAGTGCCAGCATGCTAAATCAAAGATGCAACCATCTGGGTTGTACACACCACTACCTATTCCTTATGCACCATGGGTCGACATTTCAATGGATTTCGTGCTAGGATTGCCGAGGACAAGAAGAGGTAGGGATTCAATTTTTGTGGTGGTGGATCGTTTCTCGAAGATGGCACATTTCATTCCATGCCATAAGACGGATGATGCAAACAATGTGGCTGATTTGTTCTTCAAGGAGATCGTGAGATTGCATGGAATGCCACGTACCATTGTGTCCGATCGAGATGCAAAGTTTCTGAGCTATTTTTGGAAGACATTGTGGAGTAAACTCGGCACAAAGCTTCTGTTTTCGACAACTTGTCATCCTCAAACGGATGGACAAACTGAAGTGGTCAATCGTACTCTATCCCAAATGCTACGAGCCGTGATCAAGAGCAACATCAAAACTTGGGAAGATTGTCTACCACATGTCGAGTTTGCCTACAATCGAGCTGTGCATTCAACCACAAAGCATTCGCCTTTCGAGCTCGTGTATGCGTTCAATCCACTCACACCATTGGATTTGACACCTCTGCCATTGAAGGAACAAGTCAACATGGATGGAGCAAAGAAGGCCGAATTTGTGAAGAATCTCCATGAGAAAGCAAGATTGAACATCGAGAGAAAGACGGAGCAAATCATGAAGAACGTCAATCGAAATAGGAAGCCTCGATCGTTTGAAGCTGGAGATTGGGTGTGGGTGCACAAGAGAAAGGAAAGGTTCCCATATCAAAGGAGATCCAAACTGCTACCTCGAAGTGAAGGTCCCTTCCAAGTGATTTCGAAGGTTGGAAACAATGCTTACAAGATCGATTTGCCAGGAGAATATGGGATAAGTGCAACCTTCAACGTTTCTGACCTTGCACCATATTTGGAGGACAACTCGGATTTGAGGTCAAATCCTTTTCAAGAGGGAGGGACTGATGAGGTCATCAAATCCAAGTCCAATTCATCACACGAAGGTCCAATTACTCGTCTACAAGCCAAGAGATTAAGAGAGGAATTTGCTGCTTATTTGGATCGACATTATGCTCAATTGGACATGGACCAACATCATGGGAAGCCCATTATACTTCTACAATTCGTGGACCAGCATGGAGGCAACTTGGGCTTCAAGGAAGGTGGATATGAAGGCTAGATTTTAAGGAGTTGTTGACTTGGTCTTTTCCTTGTCTATTAAGGATTGTGTTTTCCTTTTACTTTTCCTTTAAGGTTTTGTTTTCCTTTTAATTGTAGGATTTGGTTATTTGTTTGCTTTCTTTCTTAGTTTAAGATTGGATTTTCGTTGCCTATATAAGGAGGATGCGTCCCTCATTGTAATTCATTCTATTATCAATCAACTTTCAAGTTTCAAGTTCAAACGAACTGGTTCTTTGTGCAAGCTTCTGTCGAGAGTGCTCCAGAGGTTTCACGTGTCTCTTATCAACTAGAGAACGCGTCTAGTTGTGGCGAGCTTCTACCCTATATCAATTGCCCCTTTCCACGAGTTGGTGTTGTCCGATTGGTTTAATATACCAATTGCCCTTCATCACGAGTTAGGAATTGTCCGATTGATTCCGCATCTATCTTTATTTTTTCGAGTTCAAGAAAAGCGACATCAGAAAATCATATAAATATCGTTGAAGCTGCGTACTTTGATCACATCATTTAACATAAACCACTTAGACAAAACCACACCATCAAACCACTAGACAAATCCATATTTGTCTAGCACTTCGTAAACGTCGAATAGAGAATTAGACAATTAACCATTGAGTATGTGACCTACCTAGAGGCAATTTTCATTCTTCTATTTCTCCATTTTACGAATCATTCTCCTTCTTCCTCATCTTCGAATCATCCCTCTTCCAAGTTACCTTTCGGATATGGAATACACCATGAGACTAGTACGAAGAACACCCATCTTCTACTGCCATCGATGAAATACCCATCATCAAAAATTCTCATAATTCCATAGACCGGAACCGGTTTCTTGTAAATAGCAGTTCGAGCCATCGTACCGGAAAATATTCTTTACGATTGTTGGGACTTTTAGGGATGAGAGTACACGTACGATAGCCCGAGACCGGGTGACCAGGATTATGATAGAGTCGTGAACTACGTTCACTTTCCGTAAAAAATATTTCCACCCTCAACAAGCCTAGGGTTACAGGAAATTTCTTCGTAGGATAAAACTATCACCACTTTAGGTTCGAGACTTAAGTACCTAAAGCATACTTAGAAGTTTAGTAGGAAGAAGAATGAATTTTTTTTGTCTACCATTTTCCATCAGCTGAATCCCTCTACTTATATTATACGAAGCATCACAATGCTTCATTGCCAAACAGTGTATCCATTCATAGAAAGACACTTATCCATGGCAACCGTTGTCTAGAGGGACGTAATTGCATTAATAAAAAAAAAAAATGAGAGGGGAGGTGTCTCTTTGCCATCCAAACTTCCAAATCAAATAAAAGGGACGTGTCCCTTTACTTCATTCATTTGGAATTTGAAACCTCATGGCAATGGACGCATTGGTTTGGGGAAAATTGAATTGTGGTTAACTACCATCCAAAACCGGCCCCTCCACAATGTTATTTGGAAATGATTAATTTCAAATCATCCAAAACACTATATGGCATTAATTAATTAAATTTAAACCATACATTGCTTCTGGTAGGAAATTTTGAGAGCCAAAATTCCAACAGAAAATCTACTAACATCTTGACTCTTTTGAGAGTGTATGAGATGAGGTCATTATACATAAAACTCTTCATAGAGTATTTGATATTACTTATGTTTACGCATCCATGTAAATGAGCAAACACTCAAAGAGAGTTAACTTGGTGTTGCGAATAAGGTGGAAAGAAACGTCATTGAAGCTTGGCTTCACATTCTGAAAAATCTTCTCCTACCAAAGACCTTGAGAACAATAGCAGTAGACAATCCATTTATGTGTTAAATAAGTATAGTCGAGTATGGACCAAAATGAGAATTTTAGCTTAGATGATGGACATATATTGTTTCTTCGATTTGAATGAACTATATTAAATGGCAACACACAAAACCTTGAAAAATTCATCTATCACACAAGAGACTAAGCGACACATAGGAATCAAAATGGAGTCTTTTATATTTGGTATGGTCCGTCGTCAACCACCACTCACTATCACTAGGACGTGCAACAAACTTGTCTACGGAATGCTGGTCTACGAAAGTTTCCCTATGGGCTAACTTGTCAACTAACCACTCATTACCTAGTGAATAATTATGTGTTGAACATCACTAATATTTTTTTAAGTAAAAACACTCAGCACTTAATCGATGGATATTAAATATATACTAGGTCTATCATAAAATTATACACGGTATAAAAAGCGACAATGTTTTATGTTTGGATTAATTCTAACCAAGATAGTTAAACTAATTATTTTGTATAATAGACATTAAAATAATTCATACTTTAATAAATTAAATTAAATTGAAATTTCTTATGAAATGTATGAATTTTCATGAATTTTAAATTGATGATGTATCATTAAAAAAATTCAATTATGTATAGTGTTGATATTTTGCTAGTAATATAGTTATACAAAAAAATTGATTTTGCTAAATCTAAATTCTGTGAGACAAAAAAGTTTGGTATGATTAAAGAACATATCCTACCAAAAAAAAAAAGAACATACATTCCATTTTAATAAAAACAAATACATAAAAGAGGATAAATAATTCGATTGGGAAATAATTGTTACCATTGTTGTCATTTCAGTGCAAAAACATAATTATAATGTCGAGAATTTCGTTATGCATTCCAGAGCCTATGTGGTATAGGCGTTAACCTAAAATTATGTTTTTAGATCGTTCAACGCAAATCGCGATTGTTAAAGTTTTTTCAATAATTTTATAGAGTATTTTTTAGAAAATTGAATTACTCTTATTTGGTGAACATTGTATTCTCATGGATGAATGTAACTAGTCATTGGTTGATTACATAGAGTTCAGAAGTACATACATAGAATGAAATATCCAAAAGATTTGCAACAAATCGAATAATATAAACAGAATATTTGATTATGGTGAGAACTTTAAACTTGTATCTAAGAAAGGGAGTACATTTAAACCAATACATGCATATAAAATATGTTATGAACTTGGCCAAGAAAACAGAAAAGAAAAAAAAATACTTAGAGAAACAAATCAATAATGAGCACCATATTATTGATGGAATGGGAATAACTCTTTCTTTTCCATACATAAAAAAAAAATCTTCTTTTGTTAAGCCAATAGCAAAAATGGTACCATTTTAAGCAACCTAACTTTACTTATATAAATTGATACATCAAGAACAATTCATCAAACATTCATATAAAACTTTTTATACAAGACTTGAACAAGACGAGAGAGAAGCGGGAGAAAAAGTCATACCACAGGATATGGAAAAGAGCATTATGATGAAATCGGCTCTCTTTTTCGCTCTCTTGATTTTTGTAGCTGGTAAGATTAATTGGTTTTGCTCTCTAAGTTATATTGTAAAAATCACATATATGCATATTGTATATAGAATAATAATATACTTGAGTACTTGGCTTCTATATTTTCTACTCGATACAATCTAATTTTTAAAAAAATATAAATAATTTATTGATTTACTAAAACTCATAGTGTGTGTCGTTATTGCAGGGCTGGAAATGAGATTTGCAGAAGGGAGGGGACCCATTGTTTCTGGAAAATGCAACAAAGTGGAAGAGTGTAAAAATACACCATTTTGCGATGGATGCAAAGTGTGTTCGTGTATAGAACATACTTGTGGTTGTGCTCCAACTTGTTGTGATGCTAATAATAGTGATAACAATGTCACCGCTACTACTAGTACTCTACATCACACCATCAATTCTTCATCTCAAGCGCATTGAAGCTACCGTTGATCATCTATTATCGGCCTTTATTTTGCATATTATATTATTATGTTGAACTTTGTCTATGTTGAGACAAAATAATAATAATAACTGTATGGTGTAGTAAGGAACTAAGTCAGAAAAAAAAACAAAAACTATTTCCTCATGTTTGGCTTTCATTTTTTTGATGAAGAGATCATTTATCTTGTGGAATTGCGTATTGGAATTGAGAATATTATGTTATGATAAATTATTCATTTGTGAAACAGTAGACGGACAATGTCTTGTGAAATTGTTAATTCTCTATTTTCTCTTTCAAATTTCTCTATTGAAGAAGAATTTATAAAAAAAATATAAAGATGTAATATACTATATTAATCAATAATAATGTATTGAAAAATAAAATATTAAATTCCAACACCCAAACCACTCCAAGATTCGAGACTCAAATGAGTAGAGATTATTTTAGTTCCTCCTAGTGAAATGTTAAACTAAGAAGATTGATAACACCATTTCTACATCCCTAAAAATAGTGGAATTTAATACTATAGAGGAATTGAATATGTGTAAAGTGTAAGAATTCAATGTCATAAGATGATTTGTTTTCTAAAATGACAAACTAGATTAGGAATTGGATTTATGTAAAGTGTATGAATATCATAAGATAAACATATCCATAGCTTATTAATATCATAATGTACATATATGAAATTATTTTTTTTAGTACGAAGAGGTAAGATCTCGTAAGTCATAAGTACAGGGATGTGTAAATGTAAGAATCGTTTTTCTGACACAAATGACGCTCATAAAGGTGATAGTGTATGAACTACGAACAAAAAGTTATTTAATTTATAGTACAAAGCTTTTGTAAGTTTTTATCCTCTTTTTCTTACTTAAATTTTAGTTTTAGTTAAAACGAAAATACATTTACACATTTTTCTAACTTTCTATAAAGACCATTCTTCACTCTGAAAACTATAAATTAATTAATCTAATAACCCTCTCAGAGAAAGAATTTCAATTTACAACTTTGCCCTTTAATAAAAGATATTATGTTATATCCTTAATAGTCATTTCTTACAATTCATTCACTACTTCTCTAAAAATCCTACTATTCATCAGCTTATCAACTAGCTTTCTATTAATACAAAAAATACGCAAATGTCATCAACCCATACTTTTCTAAACTATTATGAACATACTTTTCAGAAAAAATTTCCCCAATTTCAATAAAAGGTTCCACAATTTTTAGAAAATTTGCAAACAAAATCACATTAAGTAAAAAGATATGCAAATAGAAAAATCGTTTTATACCACAAATTATCCTGACGGTGGCAATACCAAAACTGAACGGCTAAACATCGCCCTAGTTTTACTGTTATCGCCCTAACTTAAAATATATAATTACAAAATTATTCTTCCTTAACCAAATAAAAACAAAACAAAACGACTTTAAAATCCCGAATGCGCTATCTTCGTCAAAAGAAAGCAATTAAACAGCGCCTACCAAGAAAGCAATTAAACGGTCCCTTTGACGGCACCAGCGCGACTCGCTACACTCCAAACCAACTCCGATTACCTGCACTCCAAACGACTTTGCCACGAACAAAGACAACCAAAAGACACATTGTCCTGCCGCCATCGTGGTCCTCCATAAGCTCACCCCGCTTCTTTTCTATTTATACCACCGCAATTAGTAAAACAAGTTGTAATTATGCATGCAGTCATGGAGAACCATTAAAGCTCCAGAGAAGATGAAAAGAGGAAATCATAATAATCAAGCTTTTCTTGTAGTTTCTATGAAAGATGCTGGTCTCCATTTTTCACAATTGTCGGAAGTGGGTAGTGGTGGCGGCAGCCGGTGATAGCAGCAACGTGTACCGGTAGCGACAGCCAGCAAGTAGTGATGGGTGTTAATGCCAACAAAAATGAAAGGGTATAAAAGTAAAATCTTATTATTAAGTTAGGGCGATCTGTACAAGCTAGGGCGACATTTAGCAATCCCCTACCAAAATAGTGTATGAATATGAAAAATTATTTTTTAGCATAAAGACATAAGATTTGATTAAGTACAACGAAGTGAAAAAGGAAGAATCATTCTTCCATCATAAATGATTTAATAATAAAAATTCACTTTACGCCACAAGTAAATTCTAATGTTCTTCGAGTTTAAACGTTCATAAAAATATGCATACAAGGGAAACACGTCCATTTAAATGTGTAAACACTCAAGAGAGGTGGATTATCCAAGGAGGAAGTGGATCTAAGTGTAGGCAATGGGGTGGGATACAGTTACTTCCTCATGGGGTTATGAGATTCACATCCAATGACATTTTGGGTATGATTTTTTTTTTTTGACAAAAGATAATCATATATTGATTCAAAAAAGATAGTTACATCCCGGACAACAACCAGGCACAAAAGTCAAACAAACGAATCATAGCCGGGCACAAAGCGAGGGCCTTTCTAGCCACCAAATGGGCTGCCCTATTACTACTCCGACCAATGAACCGAACACTGAAACCCGGGCTAGTACTAACAACATGTATTACTTCTTCCAGAACCGCGCCCAGCTGGTTATCCCTAGCCTCCGCCTTGTTGATTTTATCAATGATCATCTTAGCATCCCCTTCAAATCTTACCTCGGTGAACCCATGGGCCAGACACCAAAAAATAGCCTCCCGGAGTACTAGCAGTTCCACCACAGCGGGCTCATCAATCCCAGGGAACTGGATCCCACTAGCCAGGAAAACAGCCCCAGCCATATCATAGAGAACCCATCCTCCCGCCGTGTGAGACCCCTTCCTAGTAGCCCCATCCCATTGACACACAATCCCAGCAGCGGGATTTAACAGACCAGACTGACTAATTTCCTCGCGCCAAGGCTGGGTCGCGTCCCTCGGTAATCCCACCCATTCCTCAACCTGCTGGGAGAGCTGACGCATTAATGCCGGAAACCCATACTGCTTACCTTCAAAGACCACCCAATTCCGAGACCGCCAGATGCGCCATAAGACGGCAACAACTCGCATAAGCAGCTTGGGCTCCGAGACTAAGGCCAATAACTTCTTCAGAAACACAGGGAACGTCTGCCGAGGCAACCCCTCTCCTAAATACTCCAGCTCTGAATATCCCCAAAGCGCTCGTGCCACTGGACAATCAAGGAACAAATGTTCCATGGTTTCCTGGTCACTCCAACAGACCGGGCACCGAGGATGAACGGGGACCCTTTTCTCAATGAGGGCCTCCGTAGTGGGGAGGATCCGGTTCAAAATCTGCCATACAAAAACTTTTAGCTTAGGGGGAAGATTAGCGTCCCACAACCGGATCCAACTGGTCTTATCCATCCAACTCACTGACGACTTCCACCGACCTTTCCTCATATAGAGAGAGACAGCCAAATGATAGGCCGACTTTACCGAAAACACCCCATCCCTGGTATTATGCCATATCAACCTGTCCTCCTGGTTCTGACGCGGCAAAGGAATGGTCTTAATGTGACGGCACGTAAGAGGGTCAAACCATTGACTGAGTTTGGAATCACACCACCGCCCCCCCCCCCCCCCTTGGCAAATCACCTCGGCCACTACAGGTTCACCCCCTTCTGGCAGCACTAAAGGGTTGTACCGAGGGGGATCTAGCTGCATCTGGGGAATCCAAGGGGATCGGAGCAGAGACGCCGAACGGCCATTCCCAATTTGCCACCTGAGACCCATCTCTAACAAATCTCGCCCATACAAGATGCTCTGCCACCCCCAAGATGGCCGAGACCGAGCCTTAGCAGAGAGAAAATGCCCTGAGGGGAAATATTTACCCTTATAAACTTGGGCCACTAGGGAGGTAGGTTCCATAATGATGCGCCACCCAATCTTGGCGAGCAGGGCTTGGTTGAAATGTTCAAACCTACGGAACCCCAACCCTCCCTCATGCTTACTCCTGCACAAATCCCTCCAGGCCATCCAGCGTACCCGAGAATGCCCCTCATTATCTCCCCACCAAAAGCGAGCCACATGTTTTTCCAAAAGGCGACAAAGCGAGAGAGGTAATTTAAAGCAGGACATCACGTGCAGCGGTAGTGCCAAGGCAATAGATTTAATGAGTGTCTCCTTAGCTGCCCAAGACAGAGTCCGTTGCTTCCAACCCTGAAGCCTCTCCAAAAGCTTTTCCTCCAAAAACCGAAAGGTTTCCATCTTCGACCGCGCCAATAAAGTAGGGAGGCCCAAATATTTATCACGCACCCCAACCGCCCCAACGCCCAAGATAGCAGCCAGGAATTCTTGGTCAGGCAGAGCAATGTTCTTGCTAAAGCAAACTGCCGATTTCGCCAGGTTGACCCGCTGAACACTCATTTCCTCATATTCATTCAAAACCTCAATCAGATTCTCACATTCCTGGAGTGTACCGCGTAGGAATAGGTATGAGTCATCGGCAAAGAACAAATGCGAGATACGGGGGGCACGCGGAGCAACTTTGACCCCAGCCAGCCTATTCTCCGATATTGCTTTTTTCAATAGAGCTGCAAAACCCTCTGTGCACAGCACAAACAAAAGAGGAGATAAGGGGTCACCTTGGCGCAAACCTCTGGTAGGCATGAAATATCCAGCCGGGGTACCGTTCATCATAACTGAAAAGGAAGACGAACGGAGGCATTCATGAATCCAACCTCGCCAAACGGAATTGAAACCCATCTTGTCTAAAATCGCAAGAAGAAACGGCCATTCGACTCTATCATAGGCCTTTTCCATGTCAACCTTCAGAGCCATGTACCCTTTCTTCCCATGATTTAGGATTTTCAAGTAATGCATCAGCTCGTGGCCAAGGAGGATATTCTCAACTATTTGCCGCTCTCGAATGAACGCATTTTGTCCCTCCGAAACAATCCGAGGTAATATGTCTGCCAATCGTTCAGCCATAATTTTCGTTATAATTTTATACACGAATTGGCATAGACTGATTGGGCGTAACTGCGTCATGGATTCCACATTATCGACTTTGGGAATCAACGTGATCCAGGTATGATTAAAGCTACGGAGCATTTTACCGCCCGTAAAAAACGAGCATACTGCCTCAATCACCGAATCACCCACAATTCCCCAGAAAGCATTAAAAAATTTACCCGTGAACCCATCCGAACCCGGAGCTTGCTTAGATCCCATAGCAAAGACAGTTCGGCGAACCTCATCCGGGAGGACAGCAGCAGTCAGCGCCGCATTCATTTCTGGGGTAACACTACGGTTAATAGGCAGAGCCGCCACCCGCTCCCCCATATTCAAGACCTGATTCTCAGTCGTGAAAAGATGGCCTTAGTAAGAAGTTGCAATGTCCGCTTTCCCTTTTTCATCTGTGACCCACTCACCACTATCGTTACGCAATTCAGTCACAAAATTTCTTTTCCGTCGAGTTCGAATTACTGTGTGAAAGTACGACGTATTTTTATCCCCTTTTTTCAACCAGTGAACTCTAGACTTCTGCTGCCAGTACTCCTCTTCCGCTTCCCATTGCCTTGACAAATCAATTTCGAGCCGGCGGACCTCATCCCAGTCAATAGGGTGAATGAGCTTGATACGATCAATTTCACTCTGGAGAGTTCTGATGTTTCGTAGGGAATTAGTGGTACCTGCCCTACTCCAATCATATAAAAGATGACGGAGTTTCTTCATGCGTTCCCAAAGACTAAACATCGGGGACCCTTGTATGTCCTCCTGCCATACATACGAGACCATAGCTCTGACTTCCGGGTTCTCGGCCCAACAGGCATCAAACCGGAAGAGGGGTCGAGTATGACGAACATATGGCTTGTCAGAGAGGAGGAGCGCCCTGTGATCTGAACCTTGATCCGTAAAATGTTTTACCAGGGTATCCGGGAAGCGATCAATCCAGGATTGGGAACAAAGAGCCCTATCCAGTCTCTCCCGAATACAAGCTGCCCCCATCCGTTTATTTGTCCAGGTAAAAAGATCTCCCTGGTAACCAGGGTCCAAAAGCCCCAGGTTTTGGACAAAATTACGGAGCCCGAGAGCTTGCGCAGCATTCCATTGGGTACCATCCTTTTCACTCTCATGGAGCGTTGTATTAAAATCCCCCAAAATGACAAAGGGTAACTGGATACCAGTACAAACAGCCTGGAGCTGCTCCAACTGGACAGCGCGGATGGCCACATTACAGCTAAAATAAACAAAGATCGCGACATAAGAAAAGTCTGTTTCATTCATTTGAACACAAACACAAAAATTCGAATGGAAAAACACCGACGCCGAGGTTCCCTGGGCCCAGGCTACAACTAACCCTCCCGAGGCCTCAACAGCATCAACAAAAAAACAACAAGAAGACTCAAACCCTAGCCCGCCCAAATGGCGGGAAACTACTCTCCGGTTCGACCGTGTTTCTGAAATAAACAACAGGTCCGGTTTATTGGAACGAACTAGACCAACAGCAGTTTGGAATGTGAGAGGCGGTCCAATTCCTCTCACATTCCAGGCCAGAAGCTTCATTTATCCGGTTGGGGCCAATCAAGGCTGGCTTCCTCCACCTGAACAGAGACGTCATCAGCTTCCACAAATTGTTTTTTCGGACTAGGGGCATCATCCAAAACCCCTGCGATATGCTCCAAGGAGCGCTTACGAGATTCAACAAGAGGATGCGGCATGTTAGAGCCATACTCATCCAGACCTGACCCCGAGGTATGTACCTCCAGATCTCCAGCAACCGGTATCTCCTCCACAACAGTACTCCTTTTTCCATTCTTCATGTTCAAAGGCATGCCAGCTTCAAAAGCTGCCACAACTTTGCTGACACGGTGGGGGGGGGGGGGGGGGGGGGGGGAACTTGGGGCGACATCTTTTCAGCCTTCAGATGTGCACGTTTCTTGATTTCAAAGCAGTGTGCCTCTTCATCTGAGTCCGAGTCCTCCAAATCATGTTTCTCATTGAGGGTACCATTATTTCCCTCTTCCCCGCCCTTCGATAAGACAGGCCGAGGTTCCTTGTCCGGTGAGGAGCTCCCCGCCGGCATATTCTTGCCACCGACCCCATGGGCCTTCATTTTATAAACTTTCGCCACCATGGGAGGGCCTCCAAGCGTGAGCCTACCTTTGCGCTGAATAGACTTCTGCTTAGGTGGTTGTTGCGGCTCGAGCCCCCGAATTGGCCTCCTGCTGGAATCCCCTGGCTTCTCATTTAATTGTGTCTCAGCTTCTTCCCTACAAGTTGGATGGTCAGCCGCATCTTTGCCAGGCCTGTCCTCCTGCATTTGGGTCATCGAACCCTTCAGATTTCCGTTCGCCAAAGAGGACTCAGCATGCCCCGGAATGGGGTCATCATCATCCGAATCATCATCCAAAATAACGCGACGGCGCCTTGATTGCTCCAGAACAGCCTGCATCTCCGACGTATTGGCAGGGGCTACCTGGGTGGAGAAATGCGGAGATTCCTCTTCCCTGTGGTGGGCTTTCATCCCCATGGTTTTGCTATCGGGCTTAGTAAGACGAGAGCTACCTCTAGCTGGGCTTGGCCTCTGCAGTCGGCGCGGCCCACCAATAACACGGGCTACAAGGGACTTGCGCATGGGGAATCCCCTTGGACTAGAGCGAATGGGCTTGGGCTTCGGTGCAATTTCAGGTGAGTTGAGGGATGAGATTTCCCCTTCCCGATCATGGGCCTGCACAGTAGGCCTTGCTAGGCCTATTTTTTTCTTCTCTGCAGCACCCGGTTGGATGACAGGCCCATGGCCTTTGTTTGAGCCTCCAGCTCTCTCGCCTTGTTGTCGGACATGCCTGTTGACCCAGACGGATCCACGATTGCCCCTGAAATTTGCCCCATCATCCACATCTTCGTAGATTTTACGCCCAAGCTTCTTCGTAGACATATGAGGGCCGAATTTCTCTGTGCCAATTGGGGGATCATACGAGCATTCCCGACGTGAATGTCCCACACGACCACAGTGATAGCAAAAAGTGGGAAGAAATTCATATTTCAACCGGACCCAGAATCCATCAAAATCTTCAATAACTGCCATGAGTTGGGACCTTAGAGGCTTCGAGAAGTCTACCAAAGCCCGAACCTTAACGAAGCTTTCCCCCGTTTCTTTGCAAGCAAACACTCCCGATTCTAAGACTTGTCCAATCATCGGAGCCACCATTTTTTGGCCAAATTGCTTAGTACAGCAATCGTCCAACACATTCCAAAGCTGGATGCGGAAGGGAGCGATAGCAAGATCATCAAAGATTTGCTTAGTTATCGTAGGCACCCAGGACCTAAGATTGATCAGTTTATCCTTAATCACCCAGGGCGTTCGCTTCAGAATCCATATCTTGGCTTCTTCACTTGGAAGAACGATTTCGAGCAGCCCATGTTTGGTGCGGCTAATCCGTAAGTTGCCCCTAATCTGCCAGGCCACAAGCATCTCCTCCCTGATCTCCAAGATTGTAGGCTGGCTCTCCGAGAACAAACGTCCCAGCAGCGTCCGGGATGCACGGACTCTCGTCGACTGGACTTCCTCCAGGGCGAACTGGACAACCTGGTCATTAGCTGCACGAGCCATTGTTGATTCCTGGCAAAGAGAGGGAGGATCAAACAAAGGTAATTTAACAGCCAAGCATATGGTTTCCTGCATACAGCTCAGTCTCGACAGAGTACAGGAAAGGGGGAAGTTGCCCGAGGGTGGAGAGGAGTGAATAGATTCACTATCACAGGGGAATGAACTTAGAGTTTTGTTCATTATACCTGAGCAAGCCTCGGTGGCAGTAGAAGATTGCAGCGGCGCCTTTCGACTGTCGTTACCTCTGAAAGTTTCTGCTGAATGAAACCAGGGGTGAGTCACAGAGTTGTACGAGACAGTGGGAGAAAGGTCTCCTTTTAAGGGCCGCCCAATTTGCCAATCCGATCCCGCTCTTAGAAGTCGAAGTGGACGAGGAAACCCAAAATTAGTTGAGTTCGGATTTTCCAATCTTTGGATTTTTTTGGATTTTTTTTGATTGCTAGACGAGATAATGCCAAGCAACATTGGACCCCCCAAAATCCGGGGATGAAATCCGAATATTTGTTTCGCCTTTACGATTTGATCGGATCGGGGTCTGGAAGCCACGTCGGATGGCGTCACTGACGATCGGAAAACGTTATCGGCGCAACAATCTGGGTTCACTGTACTCCTGCTCCGCCCACAATTTGACGGTCGTACAGGCCCGGTTTCCCCGAGGGGTCGATCACAGTTAGGACTGCGAATACTTTCTTTTAGTCCCATGACGGGTTCAAGTTGTTGTTCGTCCTTCAAGGGAGCCGAACCAGCAGATGAGAAAACCCCATCCAGGGCCGACGAAGGGTTATCCACTTCGGCCGGCTTCAATATCGATCTGAAAACGTTGCCAGAGCAACAATCTGGGGTCGCTGCACTTAAATTTGGCCTAATTTTTGCCGGCTGTACAGGCCCATCTTCCCCGAGGGGGCGATCGCAATTAGGGTCGCGAATAGAATTTTTTAGTCCCATTACGGGTTCAGGTTTGCGGTCGTCCTTCAAATGGATCGACTCAAAAGCTAGGAACATCACATCCATCTCCGACGCATGGGGAAGCCAGAAGCGCCATCCCTTCAGATCCCCTCTTCTGAGCAGTTCCGGATAGCTCTACTTCATCGCTCAGAGCTGTAAATCTCCTTTTGTTCTTTTTGTCCTTGCCCGGACTCGAGAGAATCCGTTGATGGATTTCGAATTGACCTTTCGTGTGATGTGGTCGCACCGCCGAGGGTTCCTGTATCACCGAATGACAGCTCCGGTGGAGAGCCTTTACTCCCCCATCGGCCGATAGACTCGCCGCGAGGAAAGCGAGCATCGCCGCCCAAAGACACCGGCCCAACCAGGCACACAGGTTGAGGAGAGAGGTGAGAGCACCTCTCATTTTTTTTTTCTTTTTCAGACGTTACTTAAGTTCAAGTCCACAGCGACATTTTGGGTATGACAAAAAATGAATTTACTAATTAATTTTTTGTATTAATTATAGATTGGGAATTAAACATTCATATTAAATATATGTTTTTTTAATTTAAATCCTACAATAAATATAACTCTCTCTCTTCCTTTTCTAGCAGACACACCACTGCGAACGGCTGACTTTCTAACCGACAGATTTTCTCCGGCGAAATCCTTGAATAATACTCGCTCCGGCCACCTGCAAAAAATTACCGCTCCATCAAGTGGTACGCTACTGCTACTACTGGTACCACTACCAGTACAGCGGTACCAGTACCATCTGGTAGCTGGTAGTGGAAGAGTACCACTATCATTTGGTACCACTACAATCTGGTACCTGATAGTGGTAGCGTACCACTATCATTTGATACCATTACCTATCATTTGGTACCATTACCTGGTACTGTTAGCGTACCACTACATCTAGTACCACTATCAGAAGAAAACCACTAGAAAAAAAACCATATCTGAAAATCCAAAACTCACATATATGAAAAACGAAGGAGAGGAGAGGAAGAGTATAGTGGCAGAGGGACTCACACCGAAAGAGTCAAGGAGAGGAGACACGACAATGACAGCAGGGAGTGAGGGAGGTGGAGGATTGCGGAGGCGGCGGCGGTGGAGGGCTCGGCAGGGGGTGAAGGGAGGCGGAGGGTTGCTGGACGGCGATGATGGAGGGGCGCGGCAGGGGTGGAGGGAGGCGGAGGGCGGCGAGGACTGTGGAGGGCGGCGGCGGCGGCGGTGTCGTTTGTCTGCTAGAGAGGAGGAGGGAGAGAGGGAGGGTGGGAGGAGTTAGGGTTTTATGTATTTATATGGGAGGGAGGGTGATTGGGTGTGGTAATATTTTTCCTTCCCAAAATACCCATATTTTAGTCCTAACCGTCAATTTAAAAAAAAAAAAAAAGAGAGAGAGACAGGAAAGAGAGTGTATCCAATGTCTAGGAAGTAAGTTGTGAATCTCACAACCCCTATAAGGAGAAGTGACGGTATCTCACCCCTTAGGCATTGTAGAGAATCACTTTATGATTGAAAAAAATATAATTACTGAACATAAATCATTTCTACTTTCTTCTATCTGAATGAACCTTATAAAATTCATCCATAACATAAGAGATTAAGAAACACATAATCTATTTTAAGGAGTCAAAATGAAGTCTTCTATACTTGGTCTGGGCCCTCGTCAACCACCACTGACTAACACTAGGACGTCAGCAAACCTTTGCAGCTATGCCCTCTCCCTAATATTCTTCTAAACATTAGCCAAAACACTTGAATACACATGAATAAATTTGGCCCCTCCTTCGTCTAAGCAAATTAAATCAACCTAGAAGCGTCAAAATAATTTCACAAACATGCGATCTTTTGGAGCGAATTAAAATGCACATTAATCTTGCTAAAAGTTTCTGGATCAATCGCTACATGTCTAAGAATGTTTGTTCTGAGAGAAACAATCCATACCCTTAGCTTGCTTGGCCCTGCCTCGATCCGGCTAGTCTGTGCCTCATTGGGTCTTCATCTCAAAACAAGATTCAATATCGTCCTCATTTTGGGCTATATCCAATCCAACTTCTCGATCAAATCATTAAAAGCTGAAGCCCTCTCTGACCAGTTCTTCACTTTTTCTAGTCTTCTATAATTAACCGTTGACCTCACTTTACTAGATCGTCTTCAGTCCTTAATTGGTCTATAACATGTAGTTTCCTCATTCCGAGGTTCCGAGCGTCTTGAGATGAGATGGCTTTCACGGACTTCATAGAGAATGTCTCCTCAAGCAAGCGTATGTTCTGCATGTACCGATCGAAGGCTTTATTTTCCATTTCAATGTTTCTTTCTTTATATTCCTCCAACTTGTTAAACTTCCATTTGATTATCTCCAAATCATCCTCAAGTAGCAGAATAAGAAGAACATATCATCATGAGAATCGAGCTATATCAAGTTGGAGATCCAATTCTGGAATTAGGTTAATCTAACACACCTTATTGGTTAATTAGAAGCTTTCTCGAATGTGAGGTTTGTAAACTGTTCAATCATCAATCAAATCAAACCCCATTCATATAAGCAGGTTCTACCGCAGCACCCACTTAGATCCATTTTTCCTGAATCGTGCGCAAAGCACGGAAGGGCAGTTTAGTCTATTCTTCTTTCTTTATACTTAATTCAGCCAAACTTTTTTGTTTAATAATTCAGACAGGCCCGGTGTCATTTTTTTGGTTGTTTTGGGTTTTAATAATTCATACGAACCTCTTGATTCGGATTTTTAATTCAGCGGAGTCTATAGTTCTAGGCAGGCGGCAGAAAGAGAGAGAAACATGCAATCTAATTGCACTTATATATTAGACACCATAAACTAAACTTAATCGCCTGGAGTCTTAGCTATGAATTTTTTCCACTAATTGCATTTATACTAGAGATCTAAACGAGATTTAAGTAGGAATAACAATTGCCTACCCACGAGTAAATTTACCCAAATGCAAGTAAATCTATTGATTATAGGTGGGTGAAGTATATATGAGTTTGACATGGGTTTGAGTAGGGTATGAATATTGCTTTCATACTCTAAATGGGCATGGGTTGGATATTGATACCCATTTACTTGAGGTTTTTCTTAACTACATAACAAAAAATGGACCTATTTGTAAAACCTAAAAGTTTAGGTATCACATTGTAATACATAAAAAATTTAGATACTAAAATGTAATTGCCATCGATATCAAGATGACTTATGCAAAAAAAATTTACAGATATGTTAAGTTTAGGTATAAACTATAATTTACAATGGGTATGGGTACAAACCAAATAAATGGGTATGAGTATAAACTCATCAAACTCTACACGTTTAGCATCTATTTGGATCTCATAGATTTAAAATGCGCATGAGTTTGGGCTAAATTGTCATCACTAAATTTAACTAATTAACTAAGGTTGTCATGTTCTTGTTAGAACCCTCTCCATCATCAACTATTTTACTTATATATTATTTAGACTAATATTTTTACGACTACAAATTTTATAGTTCAATGCTTGAAAGAAATATTTCCCGTAGAGAATCATCCAAACAATTAAATATTGTGATTGATTTTCTTTTTTACAAATAATTTTTAATTATATGTATCTTATAATTTAATGTGTGTTCATGTCACATTTGATTTAGGAAAATAGAGAGTCATTTTCATACCACCAAAAGGTGTGATTGACTATTATCTACACATAATATAATACGCCAAAGGGAAAAACAGGAGCTCCATTTCAAATTTCCTTTCTATCTCTCTAAAGTTAACGTTCAATCTTACCATTGACGTAAAGTAGGAAGGACATTTTAGTCTTCACAATTACTTTTTTATTCATTAAAAAGACATGTAATGGGATACGAACCATGACCATTTTAAAGAAAAGCAAGGATCGTAACCAATCACACTAAGTACATTTGTTGTTTCTTTTTAAATTAAAAACATATAATAGCAAGGAGGAAAAAACCATTCCCCCATTTCAAATTCTCTGCTCCAGGAGCGTTTGTAGGAAGGGTAGAATAGGGAGTGTCAATTTTTTTCTCTTTCCTCTGTGGAACGGGCCAACTTACCGTACACATGTAGATTTGAACTGGTCCAGGAGAGTCAATTTTTTCATTGGTTTGACATTCTAAAACAAGCTATTTTCTCTGGCATAATATATATTATGTTATTATTTTATATCTTAGTGGCTAAAATATAATGTATTTTAAAGTTATTCAATGGTTCAACCTCGACCAACCCAATTAGTCCAATTTTTATCATTTCAAATACATATTATATAGGGAATCGTGTATTTTATAGGGAATCGTTTGATATTTGTTAGTAAAAAACTAAACAGAAACATCTATTTGGTTATTTTAAACACTAAAACGATCCTAAACATTTTCAGTTCCTTTTGAATTTCTATGGTTTTATTCCCGAATAAGTGATGTGCAAATGGCGAATTGCAGTCAACTATTTTCTTTCACTTTTTTTTATTTTCAAATAAAAATTTTAAAAGTAAAGAATAATTAGAATTTGGCATGGGTCGGTCAAACAGGCTGAATTTCAAGTTTTGGCCCGTTTTGATCAAGTCTAATTTATAATCACATGGTTCCCTGATACCCGATAAAAATATCAATCCAAACCAGTTTGGCAGGTGAGTCCGTGTTTACCACCATTTTCTAGGGATACGACAACGACGGTTCCTATCCCAAATCGTGTTGTTCGTTCTTGATTCCTTAGATTTTATCATGGCCTGACAAAAACCAGAAAGCACAATGACGACAAGATGAAAGTTTTATAAAGCAAATTAATCGGCCAACGGGCCGAGTAAAAGCTAGCAACGATTGTGAGATGCTCATTTCCCGAAAACCGACGGGATAGGCGATTTATTATTTGATTTTCTGGAATTCGGTTTCCATAAAACTTACTCCACCTCATCATATTACCAGAAAGAATATTGTTTTACAAGGTAACATGTACTTGATTTTGGTTCATAAGGCCGATTTTTGATTCGTTGCATCATTCATGTCTCTTTCCTACTAAAATTCACTATTTTTATCACGTGTTTCCCAAAAAAAAAACTATACAACAATAAGCTATACACCTCATTATATTATCAAATTTCATACCTCACCTTCCTCCGGCCAACTGGCCGGGGCCCACACTAGTTGGAATAACTGCTTGAGAGTTGTCTAATGGAGAAGATTTTCTAAATTTAAGGCAAGTTACTGTTGCCTAAACTACTACATTTTGATATTCTAAATTTAATTAAATTACAACTTAGTCACTTTAATGTACATTTTACATTTTGATATCTCAAATTTAATTTTAATCTAAAATCATTGAACAATTATGTTTTGGTATCTAAATTTTATATATAAAATCTTGAACGTACGACAAACTCACACCATCCATTTCAAATAGGATTTGTCCCCT